TATTTTTTATTTATTTTATTCATTCGATTGTTTAATAAAAAATATATTCAATTTTATTATTTGTTTATTATTATTATTTATTTTTATTTATATATTGATTTGATTAATATATTTGTATTATATCATTTTTATATTATTATTATTTATATTTTGTATTATTATTTATTATTATTATCATTTTTATTTTTATTTATCATTTTATATTATATTATTCATTATTTAATGAATTTAATATTTATTATGAAATCATTTATTAATTATTTCATTTTATAATGATATATTATTTAAATTATTTTGTTATATCACATTGATTATTCAATATTTAATGATATAATTTAATGATATAAGATTAATATAATAGACATAAATAAAATGATGAATATTGAAACAATCATTTAAAATCAAAAATAAATAATAAAAAATAAGAATATAATATAAATAATAAAGAATAAAGAAAAGAAAGATAATAAAAGAAATAAATAATAAATATAAATTAAATGATAATAATAAAATCAAATAATAAATAAATGATAAATAAATATTAATAATCAAAAATATAATAATAATAAAAATTAAAATTAAATCAAAATAATCAAAACAAGAAATGAAAATATGAATCAAATGAAAATAAATAAAATAGAAAAATAAGAAATAAAGAAATAATAAGAATAAAGAAGAATAATAAGAAAGAAAAGAAATATAAATAATAATAATAAATTAAAATAAAATAAGAAATGAAAAATATAATAATAATAAATAATAATAATATGAAAGAATAAAGATAATAATAATATAAAATGATGATATTAAAGAAATTATTAAAATATAAAATAAAGATAAAAGAAAACAATGAAATATAAAATAAATTCATTTTAATCTAATTCATTTAAATAATTAAATAATAAAATTATTTTATAATAATGAAATATTTCATAAATATAATAAAAATGAACAAATAAAAGAATAGAGAAAAATAAATAAAAGAATAATAAATAATAAATTAAAATAAACAATATATTAAAAAGAAAAAAAGAGAAAAAATTATATATATAAATAAAAATCATAAAAATAAAAAAGAATAAAATAAATTGCATAAATAAAATAATGTTAAATAATTTGCATCAATAAATTAAACGCTTTTTTATTGCATATTTCTAATTTCTATAATAAAAAATGCATCATTTATTTCATCATTATTTTCATCATTTATTTTCTCATTTTGAATTATTCTTTTTTATCTTCTTTCATTTTATAATCTCAACATTCTACTTTTATTCTTTTCATCTTCTTCTACTTCATAATTTCACTTTTTTCTTTCATGTCCTTCTTTTTCATCATTTCTCTTCCTTTTTCTCTTATTTCCTTTTTTCGTAGCCGATCTCTATCAGGTATAACAGCTTGAGTAAATAAATTAATATTTTTTTTGTTTCAATTCAAGACTCTTTCTACCTAAATAAGTACCAGGAGGTGATATTCCAAGACTCACTAAACTCATATCACTTCCAACAATATTTGCAATTCCTCCTCCAAGAGAATGTCCCGTAAGTATAATTGGTATTTTTGGTTCCATTTTCTGATGTCTTTCAACAATTTTCTTTGCAATTGTAACTAAATAGAAAGGAGTTCGTGGCAAAGCCTTTGAGCCAAAAATTGAGAGAAAATTACTTAATTTTGTCATACTTTGTTTTGTAAAGAATTGAGTTATTATAACAGATGTTTGTGGAATTATGGATTCTGTAAATAATTGAATATCATCGAGTAGATCAGAAACTGAATTTGTACCTCTAAACGCAATTACTTTAACTCCAATTTTACTATTATTTGCTACTAAATAATGCATTATTTCTTCAACATAAAATTTAATTGACCAACCTTTTTTTTTGAAGATATCCTGAAATTCTTTCGTACTCACTTGATTCATTTAATTTATCTGAATATGCTAAATAGCTTAAACATGCATACTCTTTGGTTTAATACTATATGGATCTTTAGCACATAGATGAGAATAAATTCTAGGATCATCTCTTGATGGTAACTCTACTCTTTGGCTTTGTTGTTCAAATGTTTTTGTTATATTAATAAATGAGTTATTGTGTATTACGTTATCATATATTTCATAGATATAATTTTGTTTCTTCTCAAGACTAATTAAATTGATGTTCTTTATAATTTCTTGATGATCGGCACTATTATATGATGATTTTTTTTAAATAGACATCAATATAACTTGCGATAAAAATAAATCCACAAATAATAAGTATAAACAAGAAAAGAAAAAGGATAATTGTGGAATTATACTACTTGTATTTCTTTCTTGATCACCTCTTTCTTGTAGTCCGTTATTTTTAGTTAATTTAATTTCTTTTGTTTGTTGGTCTACTTGTTTAATTTTATTTTCGTTACTTTCATTCTCTTCTTGAGCTACTTTTTCTTCTTTTCTATTTAGATCATATGGACAGAAAGAAAGAATAAATAATACCCAATAAGGGATCATGTTTTTTCCTCTTTTAGATGCATCAATCGTAAGATCAAACAAATAATAAATAAAATAAACAAAAGGGACTGATAATACTAATCCTAAAACAACTATGACAATGCGTTTAATTGTTTTATTATTAATTAGAATATTTTCATTTAATGTGTTAAATAAATTGAAAAATGGTATCCAAGATAATAAATAATGTATTTTTGATCTGTTTTGTCTCTCAGATATATTTCGTATCCCCTTTTTTAGGTCTGATATAATCATAAATACATAGATTAAACCTATTAAACTACATCCAAACAATAAATAAAACCAACAAATCAAACTACTAATACTTGCTACTCCATGTTTCTTCTCACAAAATTTACTATAAATAAAACCTATAATGATTGAAATAAATAAAACTAAAATACCAAAATAATTTATAAATATTGTTTTAATATTTTCTTTATCATCTACTTCATCATTTTTTTGTTGATCATTTCCTTGATTATTTGTATTGTCAATTCCTTTTTCAAATAGTAATTTTAATGGTTGACACTCTGTTTTTATAAAAAATGAAACAAATCTAATTATTAATAAAAATATTAAAATACATATATAATATAACATATTAAAATATAGTCGTATAATGAACTTTGGTGTATGTAAATAAAAGATGTAATAAACATTAAAGATATTCCAACTAACATCATTATTATTACCCAAAATAAATGGATTTGAAGCATAATTGAAATATAACGTAATATAGTTAATGTTAATGGTCTATCTTTAATACTATTAAAAGAAATCATCTGATAGTATACTTTTAAAGATAATTACACTGCATTTATATTATTTTATTTATAACTTTTCTATTTTTTAAAATGTTCTTATTTTATATTTTTAAATTGATAAAACATCATTTTTTTATATTTTTCAATTCCTTTTATGATATTTCTTTATTTTTTACATTAAACCATTTAAGAGTATTCTCTTCTTTATTAATTTAAATCCAATAACCTATATTTTTTTAAAGAAATTTATTTATTTACTTTTTGGATTACTCATTAATTGTAGATTCCTTCAGTTCTTTTAAAAAATTCTTTTTTTTTAAATTCAATTAATAAATAAAGCTTAAAAAAACTAAATGTGGAAACAATTTTTAGACAAAAAAATTGAAAATGTGAAGAAAAAATTTAATTTATTAAATAATCTTTAATTCATTTAATTAATTAAATTATTTTCAATTTAGTAATAGGATTCAAAAAAATTACTTTCATTAAGTGTTAGAATTATAAATAAATAATTGAGAATTTTAATGATTCTAACAAAATAACTTTAGATTAATCAATAAATTTATTCAATTAATTTATTATCATAACTAATTAATTACAGATTTTCATTTTCTTCTCAATTATTCCTTTTAAGTATTTTAGTCATTTCTATTATTTGAAATTGATTGTATTATATTTTTAATAAAATAGGTCCAAATATATTTATAAAAATTATTGTAAATTCCTTATTTTTATATTTATTGTAACTTTTATATAAAAGTGTTAATTATTAAACACCCCTACATTTGAATTTTATGAACAACAAGTAATGTTTATTTATTTGACTTTATTATCTCTACTTCTATCATACTGTTCATTTCTAATATTATCATTTTAGAATATTCCTCTTCTTTTAATGTCCTTCCAGAGTTGGATCTAAAAAACATTAAGTCTTCATGTTTTTTTTTTCTATTAATTCTTTGTAATACATACATATTTGTGGAAATCTATTTGTAGTACTAATGTTCATATTCTTCTTGTTAATTCTTTTTGTATTAATTTGTTGATATTACAGTGATTATTTCTACATATATTATTTCTCTATTTTCTTTGAACTTCTTTTTTAGTTCTTTATATTTCTTTTGTATATATAATTTATTTCTATATACATATCTTAAAACATATTAACACCATTAATATACCATTTATTATCTTTTTCATTTTGATATTGTATATCTTCTTTCATAAATGATTATTATTGTTGTTAAATCATTATTGGAAGTGATAACAATTTCTTCATTACTAACACAGTTGAATCAAGTTTATTGAAATAGTTAAATGGTATATGTTTATTTATTCGTTTAATAATCACCTTTTGGTGTGTTTCTTATTTCCATTCATAATAAAATAATTGATATATAGAATAGTATTAGTAAAATTTTATACTATTTTAATGAATCATTTTGGATCATCCTATATTTAATATTTACTATTATGGTTCTTGTTTTTACTACTTGGACAAATCTATTTCTTTTTATATTCAATGGTCTCAATCTCATTACACTCTTTCCTTATCATTAAATACTTACTTATATTTTTCTTATACCCTCTTTTTTCTTTCAATTCAAATAGACTGTTTATATTATCTTTTCATTTAATTGGATTACATTAATTCATTGAATTTAATCTTCTTATAAAATCATTTCTTCCTTCTTTTTATTTATCCTTTTCTTTCTCTTTTGTTATTTCTTTAGACTTGCTTTTGTTCTTTATTTTGATGTTTTTAATATTTTTTATGTTTTATTATCTATTTATTTCTGTTATGGTAATATGTTTGTTTCAACTAGACTTATTGTTAAACTAATTATGATGTTGAAAACTTTAAAAAGATGTGTGAAATCATTCACACTTATTATTTAGCATGACCATTATAATAATTTTTATTCTGATAATTATTGTTTTTCTGTCCATACAAAATACTCATTTTTACTCACTCTTCTCATACTTAGTTTTCTTGGCTATTATGGTTTTTCCTTCTTTTATTAAGACTGTTTTATTGTTTTCAAGTATCTTATAATTGGTCTTTTCTTTAGTAAGAGGTATGAAAAGAATATAAAATAAATAATTTATTTTATTTTTGTTTATTTCTCTATTTATTTATTATTACAAAACTAAACAAACTGCCAGTTAAAAATGAGGTATTGAGTTACTCTTTTAAGGGATTTGGTTACACCCATAACCAAAACGTAACTTTCTCGCAAATTGTTCAATTCCTTGGTCCGTAATTCTTGAATCAAATATAGGAATACCAGAATTTACTAAAAGAGTAATGTATCTTTCTGGTACTAAGATAGAAGTGATCAATGTTCCTTTCAAGGCTAATGCTTTGTGGCATCCTTTCTTTACTTTTTTTTCATGGATTTCAAATCCATAAAAAGATAAGGTATCTTTAAGAAAATTGAGGGTCCATCCACCTTTTTCATATGCAGTTAATGGTTGATGTCCAAATTGACATTGGATAATTTCATCGATATTAATAATTGGACCTCCATTTTCTTGGAACTCTTGCAGAATGACTGTGTGTCCATTAACTATCTTTCTAGAGCTATGAGACATATGTCTCTCACAATTGACACACCTATTCCCAAGAAGGAAAAGAATGTGCTCAAGAAAATGTGATTGGTAAATGGTTCTGCTCACATGATTTCTCTGATTTATTTTATTTTTTAGAACAGATTTGTTTTGATTTAATGGTTGTATCTCTTTGACTATGGCTTCAATACTGCTATCTACTTTTTCTTCACCTGTATTTGGAGTGCAACCCCTTTCTTGGATTGGACATTGTGGAGGAGTGACTTCAAAGTCTTGTTCGGAATCTGATTGGAACATGGATATATTTAAATCTAGTTCTTTTTATTTTAAGTTTTTTTCGATTTTTTATTCAATAAAGTGTGAAAATTAAATTTTACTTTTATTGGAATTTGAAAATCATTGTTTACTCTTATTCTTATTTTTTGATGCTTTTTATTTTTGTGTTACATTAAAATCATAACATCTTTGTTAAATTTAATTGCTAAAAATAACTCAATTTGGCAACGAAAAAAAGGAAATAAGAGAAAAATGAAGAGAAAGAATGATATAAAAGAAAAAAGTGAAATTATGAAGTAGAAGAAGATGAAAAGAATAAAAGTAGAATGTTGAGATTATAAAATGAAAGAAGATAAAAAAGAATAATTCAAAATGAGAAAATAAATGATGAAAATAATGATGAAATAAATGATGCATTTTTTATTATAGAAATTAGAAATATGCAATAAAAAAGCGTTTAATTTATTGATGCAAATTATTTAACATTATTTTATTTATGCAATTTATTTTATTCTTTTTTATTTTTATGATTTTTATTTATATATATAATTTTTTCTCTTTTTTTCTTTTTAATATATTGTTTATTTTAATTTATTATTTATTATTCTTTTATTTATTTTTCTCTATTCTTTTATTTGTTCATTTTTATTATATTTATGAAATATTTCATTATTATAAAATAATTTTATTATTTAATTATTTAAATGAATTAGATTAAAATGAATTTATTTTATATTTCATTGTTTTCTTTTATCTTTATTTTATATTTTAATAATTTCTTTAATATCATCATTTTATATTATTATTATCTTTATTCTTTCATATTATTATTATTTATTATTATTATATTTTTCATTTCTTATTTTATTTTAATTTATTATTATTATTTATATTTCTTTTCTTTCTTATTATTCTTCTTTATTCTTAT